CTCTCTTGTAGCCTGCCACTTAGGCATCTTCTAGGATGTCTTAGAACTGACACTGGTGAAGAGAGATAAATGGTGTGGGTGGGACCAATTGCAAAAAAGGAGTCGGGTTCATTGGTGATGGTTTCTGAGTTATGCATGTTAGGATACCCATCATGGTTTCTTGTAGTCAATAGTACAGGAAAATACTATGAGCCTGTGGGCCAAAACTGTTGCTCAGAATATCTTTCCATGCTGAATGGAAGTTCTCATTCCCACATTCTTCACAGTTATGGCCCCAAATGGAGTCTCCTCCTCTCTCCAACCTTTCTACTCTGAACAGCTGTGGTACAGGAATGGTGTGGGTCTGGGGTTGAGGGAGGTGAGGGGCAACATGTCTATGACTGAATAGCTATGTGGGGGAAGCAATGGTAAGAAAGGAGACTCAAGATCTGCTCAGGAGTCAGAAACAAAAGCAGAATAACTTCTAATATACTCAGATCTTCATGCATAGGATTTAGGTAGGAGATAGTGTAGTCTCTAAACAGTGCACCACAAAAGTCGTCAAAGCAGTGGCCAACTTCTGCTTCCCGCTCCAGCCTATGCGGCTGTAAGATGCCCCCCATAGGAGCTGTCAAAATGTTGGCACCATGACACCTCCTCAGCCTGCAGCTGTCAAGGAGCTGTCCATGGTGGCACATCTCCTTTTCTGCCTCAGCCTACACCTTAAGTGAAGTACTACTACTGCAGGAGCTAGAGCCACAGGAGCTGTCCACAGTGGCAGTACCTCCTCACCAGCCTCCCAAAGCAGCTCCACAGAGAGGGCATCTCAGCAAAAGCTGCCTGTAGGTGGCTAGAAAGACTTCCCATCCTAATCCATGAGCTGATGCAGGGAAAGGGCGTGAAAAAAGCCAACATTCCCTGAGCTCAGGATTTGAAGTCTCATCAATTCTCAATCTGGAAATCTCTGCCCTGAAAATCTCTGCCCCCTAAAAAATCCTATATAAGCCCTGCCGTTTGTCCAATCCTCTGCTGTGTGCTCCTGGGAGCAGAGGGTAGCCATCTCTGAGTTCATCCCTCCACATTCTGAACCTTCCAATAAATCTCTTTTATGAGATTTGCTGCCTGGTGTGACTCTCTCATCGGAAGAAGCCAAGAAGCAATGAAGAAGCAAAGAAGTGGGGTGTAACTCCTGAGCACAGGTGGGGATACCCTCCCCTGGGAGCTGCAATGCCTCTATTGAGGCTTTCATTCAGAGCTATGTGGTTTCTGTCCCCCTGCCTCCACCTGGTGTCTCAGGATGCCTTTCCACTGGGATACCTTCTCCCTTCATGGCTGTGTGGTTCCTGGCTTCTGAGTCCCAGGAGACACTTCAATCTGAGCAGAAACACAGATGGCAACACCTTACTAGAACATATGGCTGGCTGAAAACTCAAGGGATCTGCCTAATTGTCCCCAGGAGCATTGAGATAGAAGTATGTACCACCATGTCTGACATGAAACTCTTTTTGCTGGCCTTGCAGATGCAAGGACATTCATTCTGTTTCCAATTAGTCCCCGAATCTGAGCATGCCTGGAGATTTACTTATCTTCTACCTTGAAATTAAGAGCCCTAGGGCTCTCAGCTCTGCAGCTCCATGACTGAGGTAGGAGATGGACATGTCTGCCTAAGCCAGCCCACCCTCATCTTTTCCTCAAACTGACTTTTCTCTCCCCTACTCCCCTAGGAAATGGATCCAAATCCTAAAGAGAAATGGTAAATCATGTGGCCTTTCCTCAGAGCTGCCTGCCCTAGGATGGGATTGCTGGGAGTCAGCAGGGCCTTCTACAGTATGCCTAGGGGAATGATCTAAGAAGGGAGTGAGCATACCGCACATTCCTGCCACACCAGATGAATTTACAGATAATCCAGACTCCAACCGCCAGGCACAGCCACACTTATCACACAACATGGGTTTCTATGTACCCCACCAGGATCACATGGGACAACTTGATCCCAGCACGTCAATCTAGATCTAGACAGGAGCCAGGCCATCCCAAGGGAGATAATGTCACCCTCTTCAAACTTCCCTGATTTATAAAGGCCCTCATAGAGTGCTTCTAGATTTGCTTGACTGTTGCAAGAGCTCACTACATTAACTTAGATTGATTCAGTTTAATACTTAGAGTTCAATACTTAGTCCTCCAAACAAAAGCACACAGGAGTTTACCTTGCCAAGCATATGTGCCCTGCCCATGTCCTCTTTCAGAAAGAGAAGGAAGCTTTAAGGGGTGATAACCTGGGTGGGGAGGTGTGCAGGGAGATGGGCAGACTCAGAGGATGACAGGTCAGTCACTGAGCAGTGTGAGGGAGTGGGAAGAAAGAAAATTAGTAGGGTGAGGATACAAATGGGTAAAGGGACATTTCGGCTCATTCTGTGAAGAGTCCTTATTCATGATAGTGTTTGGGTATTATTATCCCCAGTGGCTTCTGCAGGGTCAGATGAGTAATAAGAAGTCCTCGTGTTGAGCTGGAAATACGATAGGAATGCTGGAATAGCCACTACTGAACAAACCATCGCTCTAAAGATCTTATGTTGGGTTAGCAATTAAGAATGCCTACAACTCTTGCAAAGGACTTGAGTTTGGTCTCCAGCGTCAACATCAGGCTACCAATGCTTGTAATTCCAGTTCCAGGGAATCCAACCCCCTTCTGGCCACCAGAGACACCTGTATACACATGGTGTGCACAAGTTTACATAGGCAGAGACACATCAATAAACATGAATAAATCCTAAAAAGAAAAAGGATCAAATATCAATGAATCTTCTCTTCAATTACATGAACAGAAAACTAGAAATCTAAATTTGAATGTACAATTTGATTGAAATTTTGCATCAATTTAAACAAACATAGACATGGCTGGACAAATGTTTGGCATATCTGGCCTAAAGCTGGTGGAATACTTGAGTAATGGTATCTGTTGGATCAAGCCTATACCTCCTGTTTTGAGGCCTATTTCTAGGTTCGGCCAGAAAGTTTGTTGCTGTTGCTGTTGTTTTCCCTGCAGCTAGAGAGTAGGTCCAGAGATACCTACTATAATGTGACAAGTTAGCTTTCAGTTCCCCCAAGAGATTTTGCTTTCGTGCTATCCTGTGCGGTATGCCTAACACATATATGCAGGTATGGGCATAACACTCACTGAATGTAACAGAGCCAAAGGCCAAATAGTAAGCAGTATAAACAGAACCAAACCATAACAACAGTTTATTGAGTGCCAACAATGTATGTGCTATGCTCAGATATTCAACTCACCCCCCCCCCCGGGGTTGTGTTTTTTTAAGTACTGTTGATGGAAACACATCAAGAATTTATTTAATTATTTAATCCTGCTTGGAGTAAGTTTCCCCTACACAGTTTGAAGAGCCAGAGCTGTTCACTAGGTATTACCTAGGTCATGCCTTTCAGACTTACTCCAGGTGACAACCTATCTCCAATGTCAGCATCATTCACTGTTATTACTGTTCCATTGCCTTTACTGGGAAATAGGCTACTCCAGGAGTGTCTGGTTCATTTCTATAATCTTAGATGATCCATGAGTTGTCATGATGCTCTCTGAATAATATAATCAACAGGATTCCAGATCTGAGAACTGAGGCTTACTAAGTCATTCCCCTAACCAGGCACTTCATGAAAGTAGGTATATATATCCATGGAATATTCACAGCCTGGTGAGGTAGACTGCACATTTCACAGATGAAGAAACTGAGAGCCAGAAAAAGTAATGAGTCGCACAACTAGAGACAAACCTAGTCACTTAGAAACAGGCTGGTTAACCTGATACTCTTCCTCTTTTAGCCTCTTACTCTATACAGACACAGTTCTAGATAGAGCAACCTTGATAAATGGGAGCAAAATTGGGGGTAGGGGGTCTGGAGTCTGCAGTTAAGGATGAATGGACTATCACAAAAGGCTGAGGAGACACTTATACGCATGTGGTGCACACAAGTGCACCTCTCAGGAAAACAAGCAGTTCCTCATTGCTCAGCCTCTGCTAGGATCAAAGACTATGTGGTGCTTTGGGAAACCTTGCAATTCCCATATATGATAATGTTAGCAGAAGTGCATTTGTGTGGGCAACCTCTTCTAAATCAGACAAAAAGGCCACACTGAATCTCCAAAGTCCAGAAGTCATCACTACTCTTCCACTGATGGGAGTAAGGAAAGGAGGGCGAGGAGGGCAGGGGGATTTTTAAGGGAAGGGATTGAAGACTAGAAAAGAACCAATTGACAAATCTTGGGCCTTTGCCCCTGCTGAGAAAGTATCCTGAACTCAACATCTGTTTCTTTGTTTCTACCTCAGTCTCCACCACCCTAGTGTAAACAGCAAAGACAGTTAATCAGTGGTGAAGAGTTTGTTGAGTGAGATCCTATACCTAGAGTTTGTGTAACAATGCCAAGGTCAAATTCTTCAGTCCTTTTGCTAGAACATATCCTTTTATCAACCCCTCTGGTCCTCACACCTCTGGCTACTATAGTCCTCACACCTCTGGCTACTATAGTCCTCACATGGACTTTGCCTGGCTTATAATCCTCTTCCTCCAGAGAAGAAGTAGTTGTTGCTTTTGTTATGGTTAACCTATCTCCAGCTGAGGCAAGAGCTATGTGGTTTTGAGCACCTAAAAACTTCCCTCTAGCTAATGGAGATTCTGAATGAAATCTCAGAGAACAGGACTTGTGTGTGTTTGTTTAAACCTTGTTTCTCTGAAGGTAGACACAACTGAAGTGCTGTTTGTCTAGCCTGTGGCTCCTCAACCCAGATGCCATTTGTGAGCCCTATTACTGGTCCTTAATTAAGTCACCTTAGGGATGCAGAAAAGAGGTCTGCTAAAACAAAAAAACAAAACAACCTGGTCCCTTCAGTCTTCTCAGGACTGAACCAAACCCAGAGACAAAGTTTGGACTAAAACTGAAGCCAGGGATAACTGCAGAAGCTCTCATCTTGGAACATCCATTGATGCTAGACAATGTTAAGAGTTGTGGGCAAAGGCTTTGCCATATTACAGGCAGATGGAGATGTTCTTGCTAATGTGGGTCACCTGGTAGAAGAGCAAGTGGGAAATCTGACTGAAGCTCTTGGCAAACTTTCTGCAAGGCTTTTGCCTATGTGCATATGCTAGTGTTGTCCACAAAATACTAGCTGCAATCAGGAAACTTCTAGGGTTTCTTGCCCATGTGTGAACATTGATGGAGCTGTGGTGTAAGATTTCTGCCACATTCTGGAAAGGTCACTTGCTCAAGTGGATACGCTGGTGTTCAGTGAACATGGTGATCTCACTAAAGCCACGTCCACATTCAAGACACCTGAAGGGCGGTTCTCCATTGTGAGTGCGCTGGTGCCGCAGGCAGTTTGAGCTGTTGGTGAAGTTCTTGCCACACTCACAGCAATTGTAGGGCTTCTCACCCGTGTGTGAACGCTGGTGTTCCAGCAGATAGGAACTGCGCCCAAAGCTGTCTCCACACCAGGCACAGAAGTAGGGTTTCTCACCTGTGTGACAGCGCTGGTGCTGTAAAAGGTTAGAGCTCAGGCTGAAACTCTTGCCACAGAGTCCACAGCGGTAGGGTTTCTCACCAGTGTGAGTACGCTGGTGCTGGATCAGGTTGGAGCTAACCCTGAAAGTCTTACCACACTCAGCACAAGCATAGGGCTTTTCCCCAGTGTGCACCCGCTGGTGTTTTGCTAGGTCTGCACTGCGACCAAAGGCCTCTCCGCACTCCATGCACTTATGAGGCCGGAGACCTGAGTGAGAACGCCGGTGTTTAGTGAGATTAGAGCTGAGGCTGAAGCAACGGCCACATTCTGGGCAGGGGTATGGTTTTTCACCGGTGTGAACTCTGTAATGCTTAACCAGATCTGAGCCACGCCGGAAGCTTTTGTCACACTCTGGACAGCTGTAAGGTCGGTCACACCCATGGCTGCTTTGATGGTGAATGAGGTCAGAGAGGCTGAGTACAGCCAGCCCACAATTCCTGCACTTGAAAGCTTTGGGGACTGCAGGATCACTGGTCTTGGCAAAGGCTTCTTCCTCGGGGCCAGAGCCTGACCTACATAAGTACTGCAGGTCCAGCAATTTTTCCTCGGGGGCTGGTTGTTCCGGCCGCGCCAGGAGGGGGCGCTCATGTAGCACGGCCTCGCGATCCAGGGGCGACCTGGAGGCTCCCAGAAATTTTGATGTCGGGTTCTCCAGCAGCTTCGCCCCATCTAGATTCTCCCTGGCCACTTCCATCGCGGCCGAAAAGCGCTCGGTTTCCTAAATGCCACCCGTCTAACTCATCAGCACATTTGGAGAAAGGGGCACTGGAGGCTTGGAGGCCAGCACCGGAAACGGAAAGGTCTCCAAGCTCGAGAGACTCTAGGAAGCAGCAGCGAACTTTCCCGGTAGGTTTAACTCTTTCATTCGCTTAGCGAGACCTTTCTGTCGGGAACTTAGCACTTTTGAAACGGCTTGGGGTTCTGCGAGTCGGTCAGTCTGGCTTTCGGGGACATTGATCACCTCGCTTGAGGGTTGTCAAGACAGTGTAAACGTCGCTGACAAGGACGTACCGGGAGCGAAGTAGCTAAGTCACATTGGGGAGCAAAGGACAGCGCTAAGACACCACAGCAGGGCGTCTGATTCTAGGAGCAACAGCTCACTCTTCGGCCCTGGGAGGAGTTTCTCACCCACCTAAACTGCACTAAGCTTGGCGCCGACTACATATCCCAGCATGCACCGCACGCGCCTCTTACTTTCACACAGATAAATACCATTCTCGCCATGTCTTCTGCGACTGTGCAAGTACCCGAGTTCCAGAATCTAGAACTTCAACTTCCGACTCGCAAGATAACTGCGGCGGCGCTATTCAGAGGAGCAGCCTGGCCACGCCCCCCTCTTCCAGTTCCGCTCTCTCAGAGTACCGGCGAGACGCGGGGCGGAGCCTTAGGCCCGGGCCAAGATGGCGGCTGCGAGACCGGCTCTTACGGACTCGCTCTCGTTTTGCCTCGCGCAACTCACGGCGGCGGCCGGGGAGAGGCCAGGTGGGGGAAAGGACCCAGCTACCAACGAGACACCCCTGGGCCGCGCGCTCTTAGCTCTTCGCACGCGCCACATCAAGGCAGCAGAGGGAATTGAGCGCTTCCGGGCACGCGGCGGGCTCCGCCCCCTTCTCGCCCTGCTACGCCGAACGGCTGCTGCGGGCCCCGCCCCGTCCCAAGCAGCCTCTGGCTCCGCCCCTCCGGCGGTTGCGTCAGCTAGTTCTTCCCCTGGCCACGCCCCCGCTGCCGAGTCGCTTTTGACGTCTTCGTCGCCAATGCGCCTGCGCAAGACGCTGGATTTGGCGCTCAGCATTCTAGCCAACTGCTGTACGGAAGGGGCGTGCCGGGCTGAAGTGCGTAGACTTGGAGGCATTCTCTCTTTGGGTAAGTGTTCCGCCCCCATTTCTTAGAAAGGTTCCAACTCACAGGACCTGTGCTGTTCTTACTTAATGTCAGGCCTCTGAGTACATGCTTTGTGATGGTGCAGCCCCACTCATCTCCTCAGGTGTAATGCTATGTGACGTCACCGCTCTCTCTATAAATTATACCTGGACCTGTCCAGACCAGAACTTCGTACTGGCTCCTGCCTCACTTTTGAGCAAATGATTTATAGTTTTTATTTTTGGTACTTCTCGTGGACAGTGCTTACTTACTACTGTGTCCCTGTGCAAGGCTTCACATGGATGAGCAGGAGGCTAGAAAATGTAATTTTTAAAAGTTCAGAAAATGGACTTAGAAAGTGGTGCTGTCAGACATACCAAGCAAATCACCCAGCCCCTCCAAAACTAGAATTCTTGGTGTAATAACAATAATAGCTACCCGGCAGGATTGAAGTTGAGTATAAAATGAAATTCAAATGTAGAATGCCCACACTCCAAGCATAGGTAGGTACTTAAACCCACACAGTAAACAATTTCCAGCAAAGGATAAGCCTTCTGTTTACCGGCTGATTTGGCGCCTCCTCGTGGTAATGATGGGAACAGAGTTGGGTCATTGCCTGTCCTCTGATAATATCTCAGTTTTGACAAAAATCTTAATTTTTATATTTAAACTTGCATAGAATGCAGATAATGTGTTTGAAAGTAGGCTTGACAGAATGCCAAGTTCTCTCTAACCTTGTTCACTGTGCTGGGCAGTATTACCTTTTGATTGGCAGGGGTTAAAAGTTGACATGGTTCAAGCCAAGTTACCTGGATTACATGACAGCTTCAGCGGCTCTTCCTGCCGTATCACTGTCTCTGGTGATACCCTACTGCCGCAGTTGCCGGAGTGTGCTCTGTCATTCCTCTTAAAGCCCTTTTCTGGCTTCTGCGGCGTTTATATTTTGAATCCTTGGACTGACATTTGAGGGGCTTTGTGAAGTCCTAGAACAGACACTATTCCCCTGGGGCATTTGGAAAAGCTGCTTCAAACCTGAGGTGCTCCAGCCGTTCCATTTACCATCCCTCTGGCAAATAAATATCCATTCAGCCCTTCCTCCAGCTCTTTCTCACCTTTTCACATCTTCTGAAGACCTTCCCTAATCTTCATCTCTTATTCCTCTCTCTCCCTCTTCACTCTCTCTTTGCAACGTTGGGAATTGGCTCAGGGTTTGGTACAAGCTAGACGAGCACTCTGCCTCTGACCTAAATCCCCAAACATTTACCACATTCTTGCTTTGGATGAGTAGATACAAAGAGTAGAGAGTCCTCAAGAAGACAAACTGTTTTTGCAGTGACCATTCTTCAGTGTATGAAGACAGACAGCATCCAGAACCGAACAGCCCGTGCTCTGGGGAACTTAGCCATGGAGCCTGAGAGCTGCAGGGACATCCACTCTGCTGGTGAGAGCTTGTGAGAGTGGGATAGGCTGGGAGTCGCTGTGGGACTTGGATGTCCACTCTTGCTCATTATGTGTCTTCCTTTTCCTCTCTTAGGTGCTGTTCCCTTTCTTGTTGAGAGCCTTACTGCCTGCCAGGACTCACAGTGCCTACAGAGCATAGTTCGTGCCCTCCGCAACTTGGCAGACTCACCCCAGCATCGCCTAGCCCTGGCACAGCAAGGAGCAGTGCGGCCACTGGCTGAGCTCCTGGCTACTGCCCCAGACCCTGCACTAACCTCAGCCCTAGTCCGTGCTCTCTTGGAACTCAGCCGAGGCTGTTCCCGGGCCTGTGCTGAGCAGCTAAGTCTGGGTGGGGGACTGGGCCCACTTGTCAGCCTGGCTTCTCACCCTAAACGGGCAATACGTGAGGCAGCCATCCTGATCCTTGCCAATCTGTGTGCTCAGGGCCTGGTTCGGCCTGCACTGGGCAATGCTGGTGGTGTGGAGGTGTTACTAGGTGAGCTTAGGCGGCGACGGGGTCCCAGTGGGAGCAGCTCAGCTTCCCAGCAGCCCCTAGTGCGGGCTGTATGCCTCTTATGCCGGGAAGCCATCAACCGGGCTCGGCTTCGGGATGCTGGTGGTTTGGAGCTGCTGATGGGTCTATTGCAGGACCCTGGTGCCAGCGCCTGGCATCCACGTGTTGTAGCTGCCCTTGTAGGCTTCCTTTATGATACTGGGGCCTTGGGCAAGTTACAGGCTCTGGGACTTGTACCTCTTCTGGCCAGGCAGCTATGTGGTGAAGCTGGCGAAGAGGAAGAGGAAGGAGTAGAAGCTGCTTCCTGGGACTTCCCTGAGGAACGAACCTCTGGGCAGGCAGAGGGAGGAAGCTTCCGAAGTCTCAGGTGAGTCCTCATCTCAGGGCCTGAGAATGGATGGTGCTCTAGGGAGGGAGTGGGTCTGCTACAGCCATATTCCTCACCTCTGTCTCTATTCTGTCATAAGATGCTTACCAGGACTGTCTCTTGACTCCCGCTCTCCTCTAACATGACTTGGATCTGCCATCTGACCTGGGCCCCACCCCATCATCCAGAACTCTGGGCTCTATACAAGTTGATTGGGGGTGGCATGTGTCCTGCTTACAGTGGTATGCTGTGGAGCCCCAAGTCTGTCTGTCTGTCTGTCTATCTGTCTGTCTGTCTCTCTATCTATGTATCTATCTATCTATGTATCTATCTATCTATCTAATTGTGGTGTTTTACTATGGAGTCTAGGCTGCCTGTATCTCACTATAAAGCCTAGGCTTTCCTTGAACTTGGAGCTCTCCTGCCTGTCTTAGCCTCTAGAGAAGTTCTTATTCTGTTACCATCACCAAAAAATAACTAGTTGACCTCTCTGAGCCACTGACTTCTTGTGTGTGCAATGGAGAATCACAGCATGTGTACCCACAGAGTCATTGCAAAGACTGTCCCTTACTTAGCTCCAAACAGTGGTCAGTAAATGTCAGTCTTGTGAGCTGACTGCATTTCCACTCTCTCACTCCCTGGCAGCCTCCTCTCTAGTTCCTAAACACGATGAGACAGTACCATCTGAGAGCGTCTATGTCCAGAGCACGCTTCCTCCTGTGTGCCTTCATCTCTCCTTCCGTCTCCTTGGTTGCTCTTCTCTGTCTAGAATACTCTTCCTCCTTAGGCTTTCATTTCTCACCTCTTCAAGTCTGCTCGGTTCTTACAGTCTCTGTAAGGAGTCACGATTGCTGTCATAGTTCCTGGTTCACCTCCTCTGTTCTCCGTATACCTTTCCCTTCTGCTCCCAGCCCGTACCACAGACTTCACGGCACATACCATGAAAGGTTTGTTCTGTTTTGTTTAGACAGGGGTTTCACTGTAGCCTAGGCTGATCTTACACTTATCCTGCGTCAGTCCTGAGTGCCAGAGTCACAGGCACAAAGCACTGCATACCTGCCCAGGCCAGTTGCTTTATGACTGGTGCTGTTTCTCCTCAGCAGATCATAAACTCTGGGAATAACATTTTGTTTTTTGGTTTCTTGAGCACCTGAAGCTGGACTTGGCACATGGTAGACACTAGTAATTCTGAGTGAGGTGTGGCCCCACCTCAGTTTTGGGTCCTTCCCCTTTGCACACCTTTCTTTCTCAGAGCTGTCACCTTACCATTCCTTTCTTCCCCTCTCCTCCCTTTGTTCTCTCTCTCTCTCTCTCTCTCTCCCATCTGTTTGCTTTTCTTTTCCTATTTTGAGACAGCATCTCACTAGGCTGTCCTGGAACTCACTATCCCAGGCTCGCCTTGCTCTTGTGATGCAGGACATCTTATTGATTCTGCTTCCTTGCTTTGGCTCTGGGTTCAGACTCCTTTTCTTCCTGTCCTCTGTAGGTTGTGGCTGATTTCTGAGGGTTATGCAGCAGGCCCTGGAGATATCTCCCCAGATTGGTCTCCTGAGCGTTGTCCGATGCCAGAGCCATCTGAGTCAGTCAGTCCTACCCCTGGCCAGACCTCAATGTCGACACCCCGCACACTTCGCAAACCTGGCCGTATCCCTGCTGCCACTACTGAGGAGCCTTGGGGCCAAGAGGGGCCAGCACTGTTGCTGTTGTCACGTTTCTCCCAGGCTCCTGACCCAAGTGGCGCTCTAGTGACTGGTCCGGCACTGTGTGGCCTGTTGGCCTATGTGACAGGTGCACCAGGACCGCCAAACCCACGTGCACTCCGTATCTTGGCACGTCTCACCTGTAACCCTGCGTGCCTTGAGGCCTTTGTACGCAGTTACGGTGCAGCACTGCTGCGTGCCTGGCTGGTACTTGGTGTCTCACCAGATGACTGGCCTGTGCCACATGCCCGGCCTGTACACCGAAGCCAGCACCGAGAGCTGGGTATGTTTCCCCTATCCCTAACCACGCAAAAGGCCCATTTCCTCCCGTACCTTTTGTGGACCTAGAACCTCTCCTTCCTACTCACTTGCCTACTGTCTGCAGCTACCGTCTAGGCTGCTCAGCCCCTGGGCATTGGGGGTTTGAGGGCCCTGGAAGATAGAGAACATTCCCTTCTGATCCATAGCCCTGGAATACAGAGTTCTATTCTGTCCTTTCCCCCAAACCTTGGGGCCGCGGTAACCTGGTACCAGGTTTGGCTCCTAGTACCCTACAGTCTGACCTTTCTGCATTTCTTTACCCACTCTTTTCTTGGCTCTGCACTGTCCTGGGCACACTCACTTATGTCCTCAGACCAAGGCACCATGTCCTCTCAGGCTCTACTACCATTTGCGTCTTAGGAGTACCCTGTCTTCTGTGCCTGACTGTAGGCTGTTTCCATCTTTGAGGGCCCAGATCTGCAGCCTGACATCCACGTTTCTGTTCTCACCCTTGATTTTTAGTTCCTCACAACCTAAGCCTGTCCTCGACCAGTGCTCATCACACTCCTCTGTTGATGTCTTACTGAGGTTTTACGCTCCCCCTTTTAGGGACTCAGAGTCCTGTCTTGCCCATAGCACCCTGACCTTTAGCACTGACGCCCACGCTGACCTGTTGTGCCTGTCCCTGCAGGTGAGATGCTGCTGCAGAACCTGACAGTTCAGGCTGAGTCCCCCTTTGGAGTAGGTGCCCTCACCCACCTGCTGCTCTCTGGGAGTCCTGAGGACCGTGTAGCCTGTGCACTGACCCTGCCCTTCATCTGCCGGTGAGGGGGCGTGGGTACCTTGCAGGGGTTGTGAGCTAGACTGCAGCTTTCCAGCCCTGCCCTGAGCCTGCTGAAAGACCCCTGTTCCCCACAGGAAGCCGACTCTGTGGCGCCGCTTACTTCTGGATCAGGGTGGCCTCCGCCTTCTTCTCACTGCACTGAGTCAGCCAGCTCCACACCCACTCTTCCTCTTCTTTGCAGCAGATTCCCTGTCCTGTCTCCAAGGCCTGGTGTCTCCCACTGCAAGCGCAGTCCCTTTACCTGCCCTGCCCTTGGAACTGGACTCACCCTCCCCTTGCCTCTATGAACCTCTGTTGGGTCCAGCCCCTGCCCCAGCTCCTGACCTGCACTTCATTCTGGATTCAGGCCTACAGCTCCCTGCTCAGCGGGCTGCTTCAGCTGCTGCCTCTCCTTTCTTCCGGGCCCTGCTGTCCGGCAGCTTTGCTGAAGCCCAGATGGATTTGGTGCCACTTCGAGGCCTGTCCCCTAGTGCAGCGTGGCCTGTCTTACATCATTTGCATGGCTGTCGGGGCTGTGGGGCGGCTCTGGGGCCTATACCCCCACCTGGACAGCCCCTGCTGGGCTCCAAGGCTGAGGAAGCTCTAGAAGCTGCTGGCCGATTCTTGTTGCCTGCACTGGAGGAAGAGCTAGAGGAAGCTGTTGGCCGCATCCACTTGAGTCCCCGGGGTGGCCCGGAGTCAGTGGGTGAGGTATTCCGCCTAGGCCGCCCCCGGCTGGCTGCCCACTGTGCACGATGGACACTAGAACCAGGGCAGTGCCCAAGAAAACGGGCCCTGGCCCTTACGGGGCTCGTGGAAGCGGCAGGTGAGGAGGCAGGGCCCCTCACTGAGGCTTTGCTGGCTGTGGTAATGGGGATTGAGTCATAGTACATGTGCCATAGGCTAAACTATTGGCATCGCTGGGAGAGGACCCAAGGGATGAGTTGGCTGTAAAGGAGGCTTCTCGGCATGAGAGAAGACTGCAGAAGGAGCTATCCTCAGGGACTGAAGAGAAAATGGAACTGAATCCAGGATGAAGATCTAAAGATCCATGAATAAGAAGCCAATACCAGAGTCTGTGCAGGAGTCCAGGCGACAACTCAGGCCCAGGGTCTGGCCAGACTCAGCACTGTGGTATTGAAATTAAAGACCTGAGATTTAAACACTGCTGCTGTGTGGTGCTTCTGCTTGTTTTCCACCTGGGGTACCCCACCTATTTACCTGCTGAGAGCCCCATGCTTTGACATGGGCCATCCTTGGCTTTAAGAGTTCAATAAATCATTGCCTGGTTACTACAGACCTGGGACATGGTGGGTTTTCCCAAGGATGGAGTTTTGAGCCCCAGGGGAGGCCTGCTTTCTGTTTTTGAGTCCTCGTTGCTTAAACACAGCCACCCGTCTAAATGCAGAACCTGGCCAGGGTTAAGAGGTTTTGGCTGAGGATGAGTGTGGCAGCAAGTCGGAACACTTCTGCCGCGACTGGTCCTTTACCTGTCAGTCTGTTCCCATCTCAAGCCAATTTTAAAAAAAAAATTAATATGTAGGTATGCGCAGGCCATGGCTCCTATGTGGAAGTCAGAGGACAACTTGAAGGAGTCTGTTCTCTGCTTCCATCATCGGGTCCCAGGGACCCAACTCAGAGCATCTGGCTTGGCAGAAAGTACTTTACCTGCTGAACCATCTTACTGGACCAAGCCAGTTAAATGTCAACTGCTTATCGAGAAACCTACTATGTTCTTAGGGGTGCTGAGACCTGTTTTTAGTCACATTCAGAGAAAGCCCCTTTACTGGCACACAGGTGAAGGAAGGGTCTCCATCACTGGGCTTTCAGAGCTCTGGACTAAGCCTACCAGGGTCTGGGCATTTCAGAAAGGTGAGGTAAGTGGTTCTTGCTGACCCTGAGCCTCTTGGGGTTCAAATCTCTGCTTTACATTGTGCATTAGGGTATGGTAGCACACGCCTTTAATCCCAGCATGCCAGAGGCAGAAGCAAGTGCATCTCTTATGAGTCCCAGGACAGTTTCATACTGGGATCCTAACTTTAAAAAAATGTCCTTATGCCTGGTCCCTTTCTGGTTGATTTAGGCTGGCGTGGAGGGCTACGCTGGGCTTCAGTATTTTTACCAAACTTCCCAGGTTCTGATTTGCTCCAGAGTTGAGGCCTCGTATCCTATGGCTTAGATCTGACCTCCAGTATGGCCGTTAGACAGCAGCCATCTGTCCATACCCATCTCCAGGTGTTTCTAACTATTTCTTAAGGGGTCAGTTCACAGACAGCTTCATATCCCTCTGTGGCTGGTTTGTGCTGCTTTCTTCTCTTTCATCAGTACCTTGGGAAGGGGTTATTTTGTAACGGGCTCTGGTCACCTCCTCCATGTTAGGAATGGGTTTTGTTTTACATGTAAGTGTCTGGGATTTGTCATCCTGGGAGTTTACGTGGGGCTTAGGTCTGAGGCTTGCTTTCCCTGTTCTGTGTATCTATTTCAGGTCTGTCTTACAGGGAAAGTCCTGCCTTGCAGACTGGATCGCTGTTCTCTGTGTGAGACATTTCTTAGTATGTATGCCTCCTGCCGTTCTGCTGGCAGTCAAAACCTGTAATCTGAGAGATCCTTAGAATGTCACTCCTGCCTCTAACAAAATTCTACAAGTCTTTTTTAAAATGCTCAGGGTGCGAGTGGGGCCCTACCTTGAACTCTGCTGGCTTTGGGAGGTGTAGGCTTGGGGCTCTCTGTTTATGAGACTCCCTTAGGCAGGAGCTATGGAAGAACCACTCTAACTTGGCTTTAGTTTCAGGGACTCGCTGCCGCTGAGGCAAAGGCTGGGGTGTGGCCTCCTCTGAGCAAAGCCAGAAAACTGGATTGGGTGGGCCCTAGTGCTGTCTGTCTTCATGTCCCAGTGCTCCCCCTTCATCGCTCCCCCTGACTGTATCCCAGCGGGTCCCGGCTTCCATACATGGTCACAGCCCTGCTTCTAACTCCCTGACGTCCCCCCCTCCCGTCCTCCGCCCCCACCGGACACGGCCCCCGCCCTACTCGCCCCAAGCTGTCCGCCAGCGCACCGCCATGGAGGACCTGGGTGAGTGGGGACCGGATTCCCCTAGCTTCTCTCCCTTCCCTGCATCTATCCTCTTCCCAACTCACACACCTTCCCCATCTCAGTTTTCTCTCTCCTTTTTTCTCGCCTCAGCCTGCCTATGACTCCCTCCCAAATCCACATACCCTTTCCTGCCTCTCCCTTCCTGCCTTGCTTGAGACGCCGCTCCCTCCGTTCTTCCCTGGCTCTCTCTGCTCCCTCAATCCTGCTTGTGGTTGAGGCACTCACGGGGGCCTGGATCCAGAGGCTCTGGAAAGGAAGGGGTTAAGGGATCATTGGGTCCTGGGACTGGGAAAATAGACTAGAGAGGAGAGTGTGACCTGGAATTTCGGAGATGAAAAGGACCCACATCAGGGTTTCAAGAAGAGAAGAATTAAGTGTTCCCAGGTATAGTAGGGGTCAAGAAAGTCCTCAGGGCAAGAAAGAGAATAATAGAGAGTGCCAGCGTGATAGAAAGAAGTTTAAGGCTTCTATCTATCGTAGGTATCATAGGAGAAGAGTAAAGGGACGGGGCTTATAGATATAGCGCCCCAGGCTTCTCGTCCCTTCTTTTTGCCTAAACTGAGGCTAGAAGACTCTGCTCTTCGTGGCAGAATTGCTGGACCCAGCAGCAGAGGGCGCGCCTCAATAATAGTACATAGATAAGAAGTACACCAAAACACCCTTTCCCTGCCAGGGCCATTTACTCCTGAGGTGGATAGGGCGAGACTTCAGTGTGGCCAAGTGGGCCAAGCTGGCCAGGCTGTTTAAATATGGGGAGAAGTAGTGAGTGTGTTGCAGCAAACATCTAATCAGGAAGCTGGGTGTCAAACATACACCGGATTGAACAATTTGGGTACAGTAAGAGCCAATTTGGACTGCAACCAGGAAAGATGGAGAGAATAAAAGAGACCATTACTGGGTTTGTACTTGACTCTCAGGGTAAGTCAGGGGAGATGTCTGGTCATAAACACTGTGCTACTCCTTTGCCTTGGCCTGACCCTGTGAGTATGTTTTTTGGCCGCTGTCTTTAACACTGGCTATCTATCTTTTAAAACACTGACACTTGAAATCCTTCATCCTCTAACCTCTTAAGACCTTGATAACCCCCTCCATCCCCAACCTCTCACCCTGAGGGCCTCTCAACCGCAGATGCCCTGCTCTCTGACCTGGAGACCACCACTTCACACATGTCACGGTTAGGGGCTCCAAAAGAGCGCCCACCAGAGCCAATTACACCTCCCCCACCCTATGGCCACCAGCCACAGGTGAGATGAGATTCTGGGATCTGGGGGAGCCATTAGGGCCTGGGTTAGTCTGGGTTCAGGGAAATCTGAGTGAGGTAAGGAATATGACTGTCCTTCCACAAATATCTCTACTCTCTGTAGACAGGGTCTGGAGAATCTTCAGGAGCCTCTGGGGACAAGGATCATCTATACAGGTGAGGGGCCTGGGAACTGGGGCATGAAGATGGGGAAACCAGTTGAAATTCAGGTGAGGGTACTCAGATTCCCTACTCTAAAACCCAGGTTTCCTTCTGTCCCTTAGCACAGTATGCAAGCCTCGGTCCCCAAAGCCTGTGGCCCCTGTGGCTCCTCCATTCTCCTCTTCCAGTGGTGTGCTGGGCAATGGGCTTTGTGAGCTAGACCGTTTGCTTCAGGAGCTTAATGCCACCCAGTTCAACATTACAGGTACCGGGGCTACTGAGCCAGTCTTCGGTGGGCTGGGGACAGGGCAAAGAAGGAGAATCTAAGGGACACAGACTGTCCAAGGAGCAGTTAAAGGATTTGAAGTCTTCACTGGGAAGAAAGACGGAGTATGGCTCCTTGCCAGTGTTGTTCTCTCGTCTCTCCAGATGAAATCATGTCTCAGTTCCCATCTAGTAAGATGACTGAAGGGGAAGAGAAGGAGGACCAATCTGAAGACAAGACCTCACCCACTGTGTGAGTTTGGCATAGTTGGCAGGGCAGGGATGGGTCCTGGATGCCTGAGTTACTAGAGGGGTGTTAGGCTGGCAGGTTCTGAGGTTATACACTGTGTTCTCCACAGCCCTCCCAGCCAATTCTCTGCCCCCTCAAAGCCTTCGGCCACCTCAGCCACTCAGGAGCTGGATAGACTAATGGCATCGCTCTCTGACTTTCGCGTCCAGAACCATGTGAGTCTGGAAGGATTTTGGTTGGTGTCATTTTGTGGCTCACCAATCCAGTCTTGATGCTTCCAGTTAGTGGCTTTGTTGACTCAAGTTCCCTGTCCTCTTCACTGCAGCTTCCAGCCTCAGTGCCACCTCAGGCTCCAGCAGCAAGCCCCACACATGAGGGATGCCCATCTCCACCAGGACAGACTAGCAAGGGCAGTCTGGACACCATGCTGGGCCTGCTGCAGTCTGACCTCAGCCGCCGTGGTGTTCCCACTCAGGCCAAGGGCCTCTGCGGCTCCTGCAATAAATCTATTGCTGGACAAGTAAGTGCAGTCCTGTGAGCAGAGGCCCACTCACATATCCACCTCTGAGAACCAGACTTTGGTTTTTTCCCTTGAAAAATCTTTTCTTATTCTTTGAGAATTTAATACATGTATACATGTTAAATACAATGTTAGATACATGTTAGATCCAATGTATCTAACTCCTTCCTCTATTCCTTCCAGTGCACTCATATATCCCCCAACTTCATGTCATCTTTAAAAAAAAAAAATCTACCAAGTACAGTTAGTGCTTCCAGTGTGTGAATGGGTGTAGGGGCCATCCTTCAGATCACTGGCACCTTCCAGGGGCTACATCCCTGAAGAAAACAAGCGTCTTCACCCAGCAGCCAACAACTGCCTCCTCTGCTAAAGGAAGAGCTAAATGAGCCCCTTTCTCATCCTTGATGGAAGTTTGACTGGCTCCATACTGTGTAGGTCTCACGAAAGACCTATGGCTCTCTGAGTGTGTAAGTGCACCAGCCCAGTCATGTTGAGAAAGCATCGCCTCACAGCAGTCTTCCCCAGCCTCTGGCTCTTACAACCTGGCACCATCTGTGATGCTCTCAGCCTTGTGGGGGCATAGTGGGAGATAGATGTTCCATTTAGAGACTTCGTGTTCCCCACTTTTGATGCGTATCTGTGAAATGGAATTTGTTTTTTTCTTGTGATGTTGAGGCCTGAACTTAGACCCTTGCATTTGCTAGGTAGACTTCCTGTCACTGAGCTGTACCCTAACTCTTGAGACAGTGTTTCATGTATCTCATGCTAGCCTCAAATTCAATATATAATCAAGGATAAGCTCTGATTTCTGATCCTCTGGTTTCTACTCCAGGAGAACTGGGATCATAGGCATGCACTGCCCCTTCCCAGGTCATATGTAATTCTTGGAGATTGAATCTAAGACTGTGTATGCTAAACCATCAGTCCACCACCTCTAGCCCAACCCTTGGAATTCTGAGACAAGGTCGTACTGTGTAGTGCAGCTACCCTAAAGCCTATGTCTTCCCTTTACCTCCCAAGTTCTAGAAAGTTTAGCATGCGCCACTGTGCCTACCTGAAATGGACATTATTATTTATATTTTATGTGGTTTTGAAAAAAAAAATTTTTATGGTAGTGTCTCACTGTAACCTAAGCTGACTAGAAACTCACTCTATAGACTAGACTGGCCTTGAACTCATGACAGTCCTACCTCAGACTGTGCACAGGTGTGAGCCACCATGCCCAGCTATATTTTATGCTTTCTCTCTTTCTTTCTCTTTCCCCTTTTCCTGCTTTCTCTCTCTCTCTCTCTCTCTCTCTCTCTCTCTCTCTCTCTCTCTCTTTCTTTCTTTCTTTCCTAAATGTGCATTGGTGTTTTGCCTGAGTTAACAGACTCAGCTGCCATGTAGGTACTGGGAATTGAGCCCCAGGTCCCCTGAAAGAGCAGCCAGTGCTTTTAACCATTGAGCCATCTCCCCAGCCTCCTATTTTATGTTAATTTAAAAAGTCGTGTGTGTGCTAGGGACTAAACCCAGGGGTTTTATACGTGCTAAATACACCTTTTGCCATTGAACTTACCCCCCAGTACCATGTATATTTATGGATGAGAAAAACTGAAACGCTTAGTGATAAGCCATAGGGTAAGAATTCCCACCTGTATTGTATTTGGTGTGGCCCTACTGTGTGCTGGCCACTGTGCTAGTTCTTTTTCATGCCCCTATTTCATTTAATCTTCCCAAAGGGCTCATTAGTTTTGCCTTGTATCTCTCGAGAATCATAAAAACTGTCTCTCTTCCCTTTCTGGTCCAGAAGTCCTGTTTCTTGGATCATAGATTGAGCAGATAAGATCCAGAATAGCTGGGCTGGGTTGGCTTAAAGCATCTCAGTAGATTAAGTACCTGACTCCCAAACCAGATTCACCAAGCTTAGAGAGCAGAGTGGTGTGACCTCTGTGAGGCTCTAGGGACTCCAGACTTCATGGGGCGCTTCCTCTACTAAAACTTACCTCTATGTCAGCATCAAGAGGACTTGGTTTTCTAGCATGGTGGTATTGCCTTAATTCTAGCACCACAGAGTTTGAGAGGTAGGAGGGTTAAGCTACATAGTGAATTTGAAGCCAGCACAACTTAGACTCTGTCACAAACAAACAGCTTACGTAGACTTTAAAGTAATTAAACCTTTTCATGGGCCCTTAGACGGAGTGCGGGCCCAGATACACTATGCCTTACTTGCATGTAAACTCTGGGGTAAAGCTGGAAGGCCAGCTCTGGACCTCTAACACAGTTTGTAGAGCCTTGGACGCTTGTTTTGTTGTTGTTTGTTTGTTTGTTTGTTTTTGTTTTCATCCTGATCCGTCAGGGTTAAGGCTGGGAAAATGCCAGGTACGTAAACCTTAGCTCATCCAGCTCCTGCCAGGTGAAGAGCCACTCTGACAGAAACAACCTATTCAACTTCGCAGGTGGTTACGGCTCTGGGCAGAGCCTGGCACCCGGAGCACTTCCTTTGCAGTGGTTGTTCCACAACCCTGGGAGGCAGCAGTTTCTTCGAGAAGGATGGAGCTCCCTTTTGCCCCGAGTGCTACTTTGAGCGCTTCTCCCCACGATGTGGCTTCTGTAACCAACCCATCCGACACGTAAGCTCCGCAGACCCACACCGATTAACCTGTTTCAGAGAAGACTGACCAAATTGAGACATATCTCTTCTACCTACTTCCACGCCCACCCCCACCCTGCCTCCTCAGTTTTCCCTCTTTAACCTCAAATTCCTTGTTAGTTCTTCCGCCTTCCCTAGGTTCCCAGAGGAGGTGGAGAGAAGACTGGAGAGAAGGTGACAGTAGTGTCCTTTTTCATTTACGCAGAAAATGGTTACCGCCTTGGGCACCCACTGGCACCCAGAACATTTCTGCTGCGTCAGCTGCGGGGAGCCTTTTGGAGAAGAGGGTGAGAGCTGAAACTTAAAAGCTACAGGTCCACTATTCTCCTCGTCATGAGTTTCTTCTATTCCATCTGGCCTTTCCTATCCATCCATGGATCCCAACTCCCGGCCCTTTCTCCACCCACTGTGTTCCCTTTCCCTGTCCTACTGCCCATACCCATTGCCACTCTTGTAGTCCCACACACATTGTCTATCCCCGACCCCAGGTTTCCATGAGCGAGAGGGCCGGCCCTACTGCCGGCGGGACTTCCTGCAGCTGTTCGCCCCGCGCTGCCAGGGCTGCCAAGGACCCATTTTGGATAACTACATCTCGGCACTCAGCGCACTCTGGCACCCAGACTGCTTCGTGTGCAGGGTGCGTGGCTGTGGGGAGCGGGCTAGGAGTCCAGGGTGGGATGATTCATTGGTTAGTCGCTTCACTTCTGCTGCGAAGCTGCAGGAGTCAGGGTGGATGTTAGTTATCCACGCGGGTTACCTGGTCAGGGTTTTGGCTCATTTTGTTAATTTCTGCTTCTGGTAGGAATGTCTGGCGCCCTTCTCTGGAGGTAGCTTTTTTGAGCACGAGGGTCGCCCGCTGTGTGAAAACCATTTCCATGCTCAGCGTGGTTCGCTGTGTGCCACGTGTGGCCTCCCTGTGACTGGCCGCTGTGTGTCTGCTCTGGGTCGTCGCTTCCACCCAGATCACTTCACCTGCACCTTCTGCCTGCGCCCACTCACCAAAGGTTCCTTCCAGGAGCGTGCCAGCAAGCCTTACTGCCAGCCTTGCTTCCTGAAGCTCTTCGGCTGACCTCCTCTTGGGATCACAGATCACCAAAAACGAAGCCTCCAAAAACCCGTTCGTGAAAAAGACTGAGTCCTCCAGATCCCTAGCTCTGGAGCTACCCAGGCATCCTTGCCCCTCCTCTCACCCCCATTCCCGTTGTGGCCCAGCCACTAGAGAGGCCTACCCCTAAGGTGCTCTAGGTGTGTCAAGTTCAGAAAGGGCCCCACTCACCTGGAATATAGCTCTCACTTTGACACGATTCTGGTTTTCTAAGCTAACCAATTAGAGGTCAGGATGTCCCTGTTCACCCATTCTATTCTGTACACTTTTTTTTTTCTACAAACATAAAAACACACTCCACATCTTATAGTGCCAGAGAATCTTGCTTTACTACCAGAGCCCTTGCTCTGTGCTCTAAGGCCTCGAGGCCACAGCTCTGTGGAGGAGATAGAACTGCAAACCCCGTGGAGATAACAACAAATAACAGATGAAGGCAGGCACGGAGAGGTGTGCCTGTAATCCCAACATGGAGGCCAGGCAGACTATCCTCAGTTGCATAGCAAAACTGAGGCCAGGTGGGGTTTATGAGACTATCTCAAAACAAAACAAAAACCCTCAAACACCTGGAAACCAAAATTCAAAGCAATGGCAACAGAGTGAACAGTATAATCCCAGCATGATGGAGGCAAGTTCAAGACAAGTTCAGAAACAGTCTGGCCATATGTAGTGAGTTCCAGGCCAGCCTGGCTCCTGGGTATAAGACCTAGTATCAATAGGGTGGGGGTGGGGCACCAGAAGACCCAGGTTTGATTCCTAGCACCTGCAACTGTCTGTAACTCCGGCTCCAGGCAATCCAATCCCTGCTTCTAGCCTCTACAGGCATCAGGTACACACATGGTGCACAGATATACATGCAGACAAAACGGCCACACATATAAAGCACAATTTTTAAAAAAGGGTTGGAGAAATGGGTCAGTGATTGAGAGTACTACCGTATGTTAAGAAGATGTGAGTTCAGCTCCCAGCCCCCACGCGATGGCTCACAATCATTTGTAACTCCAGTTCCAAGGAGTTGAGGACACCTCAAGTTATCATTTATTTAAAAAGACATTTTTAACATGAGTCTTAACCACAAAGTCAAAAGAGAGGCACTGGGGAAGAAAGGAAGACATGATTCAAACCATAGGTGTGGGCTCCTGAAAGACAGACGAGTCGGCTCTGTGTTCTAGAGGTGAGTATATATAGGCTTTTAGCTAGCTGCTAATGAGCTTCTCAGGCACCGCCTGCTTCTCTGTCTCTATTCCTCTTTTTGGTACTTAAGATTATTGGGTGGACATCTGGGAAAAGTGGGAGCTACAGCACGGGAAAGGATCTTTACCAATTACATATCCTGTAGAGGGTTGATATCAGATCTAAAATGAACTAAAACAAAACCCTAGATATTAAAAAAATAAATAGCCCAATTAAAACAGGGCACAGAACTAAGCGGAGTTCTCTAAAGATGAAACACAGTGGCCGAGGAACATTTAAGGAAGTGTGCAACATCCTTAGTCATCAGGGAAATCCTACCTTGAGCAGCACTTGGGAGACAGAGATGGGCCTCCTGGTCTGCAGAGTAAGTTCTAGGACAGCCAGGGCTACAGAGAAAAACTCCCTTGAAAAAATAAAAACAAATGAACAATTAAAAACCCCAGATTACTTTGAGATTTCATCTTACTTTAATCAGAATGGCAAAGATCAATAAAACAAATGACAGCCCATGCTGGTGGGGATGTGGGGTGAGGGGAACACCTTATGCATTGCTTGTGGGCATGCAAACTTGTACAGCCACTATGGAAATCAGTGCGGAGGTTCTTCAGGAATCTGGGAATAGATCTACCTCACGATCCAGCTAATCGCTCTTGGGCATATCCCCAAAGGACTCTACATCCTACTGCAGAGACACCTGTCCATCCATGTTCATCGAAGCTCTGCTCATAATATCCTGAAACTGGATAGATGCTTGTTGACAGATGAATGGATAAGGAAAATACGTTACATTTTACACAGTGGTATATTATTCAGCTGTTCAAAAAAGATACAATAACTAAATTCACCAGTTAATAGATGGAACTAGAAAAAAATCATTCTGAGCAAGGAAATTGAGATCCAAAAAGATAAATATGGTATGTATTCTCCTATATGTGGATGTTAGCTTTTAAGCTTTCAATAGACATGCTACAATCCATATATAATCACAGAGGTTAGGTATGGAGTAAGGGACTTGCGGGGGGCGGGGGGTTGTCCAAGGGAGGAGAAATAGAATATATACAGTTATGGGGAGACAGGAGAAAAGTGAACAGGAAGAGTAAGCAGAGAAGAGGAGAAAAGAGGACGGTAAGACAGGGAATGTAAGAGACAACTAATCCTAAAAGGCCACTGGAGGGGCTGTGTAGAAACCTGCTATTTTAGAAGCCTCCTAAAATATATACATATATGAAGGGAATCTAAAGAGAGCCACTAAATAGGTGGGGAGACAATGCTTCAGCCAGATACCTTACACCACCAAGGGAAACATCCAGTGCTAGGAACGGGCTACATCTAGTTGAGTCGGTGGCCAAAGAAGACTCACGGAAATCCCCAACATCTCAGGCTGTTGGCTGCTCTCCACAACCTGATGGTAAGGCCCTACTGCTGAAGACAACACCTGCAATATCTCATCCAACACAGAGAAGCCACACTGGTGCCTAACAAGAGCCCTCACCCTTACTAACTAGTGTTCATTATATTGGAAGGTACTCATAGTATTGGAAGGTACTCTCTGCATGCTACCGAGGAAGGAAGGTAAACACCAACTCAGCTACAAACCCTTCAGTCTATATATAATATGATGACCTACCTGCATGATATATGCTGGTGCAATCGTGGCATGAATATTGTGGGAGTAACCAACCGCTATCTGGTTGGATTTAAGGCCCACCCATGAGATGGACCACATGCCTTATGCTGCTCAGGTGGTTGAGAACCTGAGACTAATAGACCTAGGGGCAAACCAAACATTGCATTCTGTTAAAGCAGTAGTTCTCAAGTATCCTAACACTGAGACCCTTTAATACAGTTCCTTGTATTGTGGTGACCCCAACAATAAAATTATTTTTGTTCCTACTTCATGACTGTAATTTTGCTACTGTTATGAATCGTAATGTAATTATCAGATATGTGACCTACATGAAAGGTCTTCGACTCCCGAAGGGGTCATGACCCACAAATTGAGAACAGCTGTGCTAAGAAATGTGGCAATTCTCCTGTGCCCACAGATTAGTGTCTTTCTCAATCAGCTATCATCAGAGAAACTTTTTCCTGCAGTAGATGGGAGCTAATACAGAGACCCGAGACCCACAGCTAGGCAGTGTGTAGAGTGAGAGACCTTGGAACTTCCAGTCCTTAATGGCATGTCTTCACCAAACCCCTTCCCGAAAGGCTCAGAGAACTAATCAGAAGAGAAGGCAAAAGGAGATTATGAGACAGAGGTGATGAAAGGCACCAAAGAAACAGTGTTTCTAGACACAACGGGACTGATGTACATATGAACTCACAGAGACTATGGCAGCAGGGCCTGCACAGGTCCGAGCCAAATGGAGTCCCAGTGCTGAGAGGCAGAAGTGGACAGGAGATTCCATCCCTAAGTAAGAGCCATCTTCAACTGATAACGCCTGATGTCGGGAGGTGTTTGTCTGCTTCTCTGAGGGAGAGAGAGACAAAAAAAAAAA